TCCAGCAGTTGTTTTTTTTAAACGATTTTGTGTGTGCTTCTTTTGTTGCTGTATGTTGTACAGGTAATTTTGTAAGTTTTTACAAAAATGCCCAAGGCTTATTTTCGCGCGACACAGTTGGGAAAGCACTGCTGTAAGCGGTTAAGATAAAAAATGCAGTACTATTTTTTTAAAAATGAATCCAAGACAAAGCGAATTTGTTGAAATTTCCTTTGAACGGGAAGTTTTAGTTTTGTAATGATTCAGTGATTCCTTTTGGTCATTAAGACACACACATGAGCAGCTGGGAAAGTTAGCTACTGTCAATCAGACACAGACCTACAGCTGTGGTTCCGGGGTGCTGGGAATATAATTGTCATTGTCATGCCCCAAAAAAGACACAGACCTAAAGCTGGGGACGTGGGGAGTTGGAAATATAATTGTCATACTCATAAGGACACAGACCGTTGTGAATTTACAAGCCAATGCAGCAATGCTCAGACGATGTGTTGTATGTAGCAGTCACAATAATTGCTGTTTTTTAAATAAGTAAGTCTAGGTTTAACAAATAACCACTTTAAAAAACAACTCTTCTAAGACTCTTAGCAGAATTTTTTCTAAAAGCTTAAACTAAAAACGTAATGTTACAGCTACAATGCTATGTGTTACGTTCTTACCTAACCAGGAGGGTAACATTTTCTGGATAAAATATATTAAACAAAAAATATTTATTAAACAAAATTATGATCTAGAGATTCACAGGGTAAACACAAATATATAACAAAACATCACACATTTAAGAATAACATCACACATTTAAGAATAGCATCATTGCGTAGCTTTACACAAGGGCAACAACTAGAAACACTTCTAAGGCACCAGCAATTTCTGCTCTTAGAAGTAATCACATTAATCATTAATGACACAAGATGAGTTTCCCTTTTTTCTTTGCTTTTTCTACATCCAGAGGAGTGTAGGCCCTCAACATATATTCCTACGCCTTCCAGTCTTTTGAAATCTTCTCTGGCTCCTTCCGATCGCAATGACCGTACATCCCTGTCCACCTTTCTTCACCAGACAAGCTTTAAAACTGTAGACGTCCTTTAACCTTAAGGACAATATTTGTTTTTGATGTAAGATCTACCAGGAAAATTTAAAATAATTAAGATATGACAGAGCATTCACAAATGAGGACGAAGAAAGATTTTCAGTTTCAACTATTTAATTGTTAAATCATTTTTAAAATGAGACATTATTTTATGACTTAAAAATGAATGACCAGCTCTGAGATAATTGAGGGCCCATCTAAATGCTTGGCATATGTTTGGTTTTTCTCTTATATCTTATGAACCATATTGAGCCTTTAAACCCAACAATTAGCAAGCAATAAAAACACAGAATCTGTTTTCTAGTCTCAAGTTTCCTACCTTTTATGAGTCCTAACCCCACAAATTTAGAAGTAAGGTGACCCAGGACCTTATGCTATGTATAGAACAAAGTGACCCGTGACCAAGATACATAAAAAAATGTAATAAGCGCGTGGAAAATAGATTTTTCAAATGAATTATTTCAAAATTCTTAAAACTTTTTTAAGATAAGATAAAAATTGCCTTTTAAAATTTTTTTATTTTTTTTGGGGCTAAGTTTTCTGCTGTGACTCCACAGAAAACTCTTTGCTACATTTGGTTTGGGAACCATGGGGTACCTAGGAATATGACAAGAGTCAAAAAATGTCTGCCTTGAAGGCCAGAGATTCTCACAGATGGCACAGTTCATAAAAAGATGTGCTAACCACAACATGGATGTTGCATGCCCTAAGTTAAACGCCACATACTTTTTACAATGGTTTGTCTCAAGACGAGTATTTCATAAAAATAACAAAATCCGAACAGTAAACAAAATATAAAATATGCGCTTTCTAGTTTCAAATGAAAAACTGTGTCAGAATTTTCATTATTTTTTCCAGGAAGGAGACTTTGCACTAATTACTTTATAAAATGTATGGCACAAAACAAATGTAAGTGGGTCGGGCACATTTTTTGTTTGTTGTGGAAACAATGGACACAGATTGTTTATAGCATTTACACAGTAATTATTTGGTCTCAATTCTGAAGGGCCACTGTAAATTAGCAACAGAAACAAAGTATTCGGACGCATTTTAATGTCATGGGCATCGTATTCCAATAGATAAAAATTAATTTTCATTTCAATGGAAAACATTAAAGTCAATAAATTGTTTTCTTTTAAAAGCGATGTAAAATCTTGACTTCAATGGCATAGCAAGGGACATCATCCTTTAAAACAATAACAACAATAGTCAAACAATTCAAGATGAGACTTTGATAAGATGGTTGTGAACACAGACAAGATGCATCAGAAATAAATAAATATCATATGTAAGAGTTTCTTGGCAGTTTATGAATAAGCTTAAGTACAACATTATTGATCTTTGTTATTAGCAAAATTCTGATTCAACAAAATGGTTGAATCATGGATGGTACGATGAGAGAAGGTGCGTTTTAAGAAAAAAGAAAGGGAAAAAAAAGAGAGGAGTGGGGAGGAATACTTTGTGATGACTCACAGGGAGATGCTGACAAATGAAAAGGCTGAACTAAAACAGCTTAGGATTTGTTTTCTCTGCGTCTCCTATATCTGATCTTGAAAATACTTAGCGCAACAATTTGATATCTTGGAAACATAATTCACATGGGCAGCTGCTGAACAGGTTGTGTACTAATTTGAAAAAAAAACAACACAATAATAAACAAGTATTTATCCTGTTGTCTATCACCATAGTGTTGTATGTTATGCAATCATACTCTTCTCTTCTTTATTCAATGAATTGATCATTCTAGCTCCTATGTTTCAGAGGGGTTCGCGATGTTACTGTGCATGTGTTTCAAAGGGATACTTCACTGGTTGCAAGGGCTACTCAGCAGTGGTGTTAAGAACTGGGGGTTGGAATACAGGAGGCATGAGACACAAATGTGTTGAGTGAAGCCGCCTCAACTGTTGCTTTTGGAAGCTTGTTCCAGTCCCCTATTGTCTTCGGCAAGAATGAGGAGCTCCTGTACTTTGTTCTTGTTTTTACCAGCCGGAACTGTCTGTCGTGGCCTCGTCGCTGTCTGGAGGAAGATGAACGAGTTTCTGTTTGATGCCGGAGCAGTGGACCAGCCCATTTTTGATCTTGTACAACATGGTGAGCCTGGATAGTCGTCGTCGTTCTTCCAATGTCCCAGACTGTAGAAGCGTACTCTAAAAGAGGCCGGACAAAGGCTTTATAGGCTTTTTCTTTTACGCTTGAGTTGCCGATCTTCAGATTGCGCCTTAGGAACCCCAGGGTCTTGTTTGCCCAGTTGCACACACTGTTAATGTGCTCGTCCCAGCCGACCTCTCTGTCAATGTTAACACCGAGGTATTTAACTGAGGAAACTGGCTCAAGAATATGGCCATGCAATTCGTAAGAGTACTTATATTTCTATCTGCAAGTTTAAATGTGTGTCCATGTCATTCTTGTCTTATAACTGTGCAGACCTGCACTTTTATTCCTGACTCTGGCGTCAGTTTTTTTTTTTAAATGTAAGAACATGTGAAATTAGCCTGCTTTTTTTATACAGCACCGTACTGAAAGAATGAATGAGTTAATGCCATTAGGAAATTACTTTACGCCCATCAAAAGTTATCTGAACTAAAAAAAAACAACAGATTTAACTATATTATGAGCAACAAGATACATAAATTCTGAGGTTGCAGGTTTAATAACTTGTCAATTATAGCCTGCAAATGGCTACAACACATGTAGGTAAATGCAGGTATCGCTCTGAGCATCATAAAAAATCCCAAAATCAGAAAAACTTCTACCAGTCTTCAGTCCAGGTATTCTGACTAAGGTGGTGGTCACAACATCAGAAACACAGATATCTCTCCCAACATTAGAAAACACAGGTATCTCTCACAACATTATAAACACGGGTATCTCTCACAACATTATAAAAACAGGTATCTCTCCCAACATTAGAAACACAGGTATCTCTCACAACATTATAAACACAGGTATCTCTCCCAACATTATAAACACGGGTATCTCTCACAACATCAAAAAGTAACAAATGTACAACAAAGTTGAGCGCCACACAAAAATAATAAATCATTTAGAGGTGATTTAAAATATTGGGAATGGTTTGAATGAGAGCTGTGAAAACAGGTTGTTGCTTCAGTTTAATCAAGACAATCATCATTTCATCAGTGGACAAGTCTAGTTCATTAAATTTTGCATTTAATTTTAAAAATTTTGTTAATCCATTTCCCCTGTAGTAACACTGCTGTTTAAACCACACAGTTGCTTGAGATTACACTTAAATTGGCACCACGGCACACTGTCAGACACAATGGTGTGCACACAAAAAGATACCTGGGAATCACTCATAATGATCTCGGTACTATTGACCTGCAACAGTTAAAGGGTTGGGGTTTTTTTTTACAATTAATTCATTATTGCACTTCAAAAAAAAAAAAAAAATTAACAAAAAAAAAATAGTACCCTGATTGAAAACATTAAAATATTTATAATGATTTTGGTACCATTTCTGTAATGTATTCTAGTCCATATAAAGGGTTGGGGTTTTTTTTTACAATTAATTCATTATTGCACTTCAAAAAAAAAAAAAATTAACAAAAAAAAAATAGTACCCTGATTGAAAACATTAAAATATTTATAATGATTTTGGTACCATTTCTGTAATGTATTCTAGTCCATGGCTTGCAACAATGTTTGTGTTGAAGACCACTAATTAAATTATAGCCATCCACTTGCAGAGTTAAAAAGTGAGTTTTCTCTTTAAATAAAGAAAGTGTAATGTCGGTCACATATCTTTACCACACTTGTGATCCCTACAGACACATGTCGGAATGTTGGTACCAGCTTGGTCAAGTCATCCAAATAATTCCAGCTGCTGGTTATTAACTTATAAGATGGGCAATTGGTTGCCTTCTTTTAATTCATCAAAATGTCAAGAACTGTCTGTTGGCCAAATTTAGCAAGAAAACTTTTACCAGTCTTCAGTCCTGATATTCTGACTCAGGTGGTGGTCAGCTCATCGTTGTTTCTAAAAAAATTCACAGTGTTGCCGGTTGATGGACAGTGTTTTCAGGGGGCAAATGTGGAGAACTGAACACAGCCCCACATGCTGTTGGTTGTATACTGAAGTTTGAAAATTTCTCAATAAAGATCTGTTCCAACCAGTGGATTACCTCATCCACTTTACCCTTGGACAGTAGAGAAGTGGAGGAGTTATCAGATGGGGGCAAAAGTTCCACATGTAGAGATTTGGATGCTGAGCTTGACGCCGAGCTGGATGTGACTGATGGCACAGAAGAGTGAAATGGAGTCTCAACGCTACGAACAGATTTTGTAGGGCAGTTTAGGAACTGGAGTGTCGTGTCAGACGTCATGACATCTGTTGATGAAACAGCCTGGGAATGTGGGGCTGAGCTCTCTGTTGAAGATGCAGCATCCTCATCAGGGTCACCCACAAGGATGCGCCTCACTGACTGCAACATCTTAAAGATGAAACAAAGCAAAACATTTATTGTGATACAGTAGTACCATAGAAGATTGCCATAACTACTTCCAGGAATTAAAATTTGCCAGGCATAATCAGAATTCTAAACAAGGAAGATTTGGATGTCTGCATAAATGTGAGAAATAACCTCAGATTATAGATTAAAGTTAGTAACTTTATGTTGTATGAGGCACAAGATACACTTACTTTAGAAAGACACGTAATGCCTAGAGAAGACCTGTATTGGCATGAAAGCATAACCCTGTTGACATAGGTGGAATACTTCTCAGCAATTTCACTGGCTGGACCCAAGATTTCCCTTAGGTTGTCTCGATATGTGACTTGATAATGAAACTTGTATGGCAAATCTGGAAGTAAAGTCAAGTATTATTTGTTTTCTCATCATTAATCCATCGACAAGGGAAGATTTTGTTTCAGAATTATAAATACTATCAATTCCTAAAATAAGGATATCAGTGGTGTTTAAAATATTTAATGAATGTGATTTAAAGCCTTCAATACCCATAAATCTGTATAATACATGCCTGTTAATCATAGAATTAGAATAAAATATAGCGTTGAATCTCTTGTGTTAAAGACTTAATTATATTTTTTGTAAACAATCAGTTAAAAAAAATTATTATTAGAATATGGTTCTAATAAGAACATAAAATTCTCTGCAAATGTTTCAGTGATAAAGAACAAAATAAGACTATTATCCATCTAACTCAAACTGAAAATCAATAATCCTATGCTTAACTTGACTACCCTGACCTAACCAAAGTACAAATTAAAATTGTTTACATATCATACAACAAAATTTGAGAACCACAGATTAACTTTGGAAGTATGTTGACTATCAGTGGCCGTGATAAGGGAAGGTGATTAAATTTGGTGATTAGAATGTATCAAAAATTTCCAAGCTCAGAAATAAGTCTTTGTCACCCTAAGATGAAGCCTGATGGGGAAGGTCTTTGTCATCCTAAGACTAAGATAAATCCTGATGGGGAAAGTCTTTGTCATCCTAAGATAAAGCCTGATGGGGAAGGTCTTTGTCATCCTAAGATAAAGCCTGATGGGGAAAGTCTTTGTCATCCTAAGATAAATCCTGATGGGGAAGGCCTTTGTCATCCTAAGATGAAGCCTGATGGGGAAAGTCTTTGTCATCCTAAGATGAAGCCTGATGGGGAAAGTCTTTGTCATCCTAAGATGAAGCCTAGTGGAGGAAAGTCTTTGAGCAAAACAGTACCGGTAACATAAATTGTATGGTCACATGAACTTTATGTACCTCTTTTTTTTTATTACAACTTTTCAATAGTTTGGGCAAACTTACTGCACAGAAACACTTTACTGTGGCTGTCACTGATTGTCAAACACCTGATGTCAGAAAATACTGACAGGCTGGATGCATTGTAAGGACTGACGATGACCCCAACAAAGTGATTGCCTCCTTTGGAAAACCAATACTGCAAAATATTCACATATCCAATGTTATAAAACTGGTGTAACTTGAGCATTGTTGGAAAAACAAAAATGTTGAAAAACAAACTGTATAAGAGCTGACTGTTCATGTCCAACATCAGCTAAATGGAATTCACACACTATTTTCTTTCTAATTATTTTAAGATTACTCTCAACTAAAAAGCTATAGTATATCATTAACCTGTATAACCCCATCCACGTATCATTTAGATTCCTAACATTTTGTTGGGAAAGATCCCTAAAATGACTTGTCTACGTACAGAGTGATCTTTTAATCTTATTCTCTTATTCCCATAACATTAGTAACCATACTATACGAATTCACAATATAATTATTTGTTTTTTAAATAAAAATGTCTAAATGCTTTAATTTTTAATTAAATTTAAATGAACTGAGGTCATACTGATAAAAAATGCTAATATCCCTTCAGAGGGATGCTGCTTACATTACAGGTGTTATGGGTTACTTAAGATACAAACTCTGTCGAAAAATGCAAGTAGGTCAAGAAGAATTGGTTGCAAAGGCATTAAAATATATCATTTAATGAAATATTGTTTGCCCTACTTGCCTTGCATTTTTTAACCTTAATTTCGTGCACTTTATGTGGTAAGGTACAGTCAGTTAACTTTTAAAAACTCAAAATTAGATGTAGGACATATCACTGACCTGAAACTTCTGTTGCGTTTCAATGTCTCTGACTGAAGGATCTGGACTAAATGTTGGATGGGAGTGGTACCAGCCCACAACAGACATCCCTACATCAGTTATTTGATCACTTGCCAGAGTCTGAGAAACTAGGTCGATGGAAACATACATTTTATGCATTTCAGCCAGATTAGGTGAAATTTAAAATAACATTAAGATGTAGTGATGGTTCTCTTTAAAACATACTTTTTGAAAATTTTCTTTTTCATTATACTGATCCAACATTGAAAACTTTTTTGAGAAAAGAAGAAACAAGAAGTGATAGGTATATTCAGAAGCACTCATTCAAATCTGTTTTCACCGGAACTCCCAAAATAGTACAATTAAGTCTTGGAATAGTACTTTACCATCTCAAAATCATACAATACTGTATTGTAATATTAAATAAATCAACATACACTATGATAACTATTTGCATCGCATGTCTAATAAAGGTCACTTCTTAAAGTAGAATACCAGTACTGATGTTTAAATACATTTATTTATTTACAGTGCATTATGTCAAATAAAAAGGTGCCAGTCATTAGCCACTTTGATAAACCGGTGAGGGTGGAAATCTGAGGACTACCGCCGAAAACTCACTCTAAAAAAAGTTGGGTTGGCTGCTAATGGCATAAGGGGAGGAGGCTGAGTCCCAGAATATTTATATTAAAAAATGCAGAGATGCACTTTTGCTTATACCTGAATAGAGCTTTGCATCATTCTACACTTAATCATAATGCTTGTGGAAAATAAGGTTCCCTCTACCTACCTGAGATCAGTGTTATTTTAGTAGTTAACTAAACAATAAATTTTACAATAAATTATTACTTCTATTTTTCAAAATCATTCCTGACACTGAAATGGTGTGTACCGTCACAAAAGTGATGTTTATATATTTCAAATGTGCGTAAATTTATGTAAATATGAAAATAATCACTTCTTGAATGAAGAAATAAGTTCCTTTGTGATACATTCGGCTCTCACAATATTAAACGTGGCAAGCAAGCCACAGTTTGCCCACCCCTGCATTAAGCCTAGGAGCCTAAATTTATTTTAAATTAATATATTTAAGTCTAATAACTACAGCAAGTTGTAATGGGAGAAGGGAAGAGGAGCGTGTGAACCAAACTAGGAAATTAAAATGGTATAGCTGGTTAATGGCTTCAAATAGATTTAAAATGCCGCTTACTAGATTTTATAAAATATGTAAAATCCAATGCTGCTGGGCGGAGCAGTTGAGAAGCTTTTTTTTTTTTAAATCCGGTTTTCTACATTTTCGCAATCGCTTCCATTCAGCCCACTGAACTACCATGTTACAAAATTGTTTCATATGGAACCGAAACAAACTACAAAAATACTTGGGCGAATACGCTAAATATCACTGTTGCTGTATCTAGTGAGTTCATTGTAAAAACACTAAGCATCAATATGACGATTATTATGAAACTGAAACGTGCTGGTGATATTTATAGTCTTTGAAAATATTTAAATGTCCCCTGTCTCCTCACATGCACACCCTTACGCTTTAAGTGCATACACTGTTATATATATCACTGTTGCTGTATCTAGTGAGTTCATTGTAAAAACACTAAGCATCAATATGACGATTATTATGAAACTGAAACGTGGTGGTGATATTTATAGTCTTTAAAAATATTTAAATGTCCCCTGTCTCCTCACATGCACACCCTTACGCTTTAAGTGCATACACCACCCCCTTTTCCCTCTCAGTGTGAAAATAATATAATTATGGATGGTCCCCAGCCAATCATATTTCTCTGTCCATACACCACTGGGTGTAGCAAGGAGCTAAAACTGGCAACCGAAAACATTATGTAATTATTATTTTTTAATCCTAAAAAACCACTAGAATATATTTTTTAAACCTGATCTTTTTTTAACATTCCTTAGCATACAATCGTAAAAGACATCTCAAAATCGTACATTTTATGCCAAAATCATAAGAGTTAACAAGTCTGCTCATTGAAAAATTGCCAAACCTAAATCATAGCAAAGAGAGCATTAATGAAATCTGAGGTGGGGAGGTATACAAAAATATTTCACATTTAAAAAAAAAAAAAGATGAAATCATCAAAGCAGTTATTTACATGGGCTTTGTTCTCACCTGGATCCATTTCACACTGCATCCCTGTGCTCATACTCTTGCAAGGCACAGCCATACTTATAGTTAAACACTGAGTCGCAGCACTAAACTGACCCCCAAGCATGCCAATGACCTCTGTTTTAGACACATGAGCATGAATGTCCATGATGGCCAAAGCTGTATTAAACATCTCAATTTTATATGGGGCCTGTAAAATTCCAAAAACGAATTCATAGAAAACAAAATTTCTCCAAGCTGATTGTTGAGATAAATGAACCCCCCCCAAAGTGTTTTTTTCCCTTTAAAATCAATTTAACAGTTTAATGTTCCTTAGTAACACTAAGTCACATGACAAATAAGGGTAAGTATTTTATAATTCAGAATCTTTAAGCATTGCAGAGTACATATTTTAAAATTAAGTACCGGAACTCAGAGCAGGGGACATGAAATTAAGAGGTAATGAGCAAACTATTTCTAAACTATTTTAAATTCCAAATTGTATTAAATATGGTTTTAGAAAATTAAAACTTACAGGATTATCATCAGAGAAGGGAAGACAAGGCACTAGTTTGAATGGATCATAAACAGTCTTCACTGATCTCGGGATCTTAAGTTTACGGTTAGCATCCAACTTCTTCCTCTCATTGTTATGCTGTTTGGAAAAAATAATAAATTTGAGATAATTGGTTCGCACAATCTTTAACAAGTTTGTAGGAAACAAAGCTAGTCATAAAGTGTTTCAAAGTGTAGAAAATATAAAATCACTTTAAAAAATGTTTATTATCATAATCCCTTTGAAATTCTGTCCCTCGTGTATTGAAAATAATGATATTATCAGACCTGTTTATCCTCAAACCCTTAAAATCGTACAACATCATCACAAAATCATTCAATACCTTATATTTATAGTAAAAAATAAACATAAAGTATATATAATGTTTACACCTCAAAATCGTACATTGTACGCCAAAATCGTAAGAGTAAACAGGTCTGTAATAGGAATTTAAGACCTAAATATAAATCTTGGGATCACATGAAGGCATCTAAACAGACAGACTTTCCAGAAATGTGGAAATTTTGACGGGGATCTCACAAATTCCACTTAGAGTGGCTTTTATTACACCGGAAGTCACAAGATCATGGAAAATGAGACATAATCCTTCAGCTTCATTAAAAAAAATTTTTTTTTAAACAAGTGTAACAGACCAAGTTGGCTGTGATTTTACACACGACACTATTATGACAGGATGGCGTAGAAATTGTATTATAACATGGTGAATCACGAGAAATGAGGGAACTAATTTCTAGAGCGGAAGCACACATGCTGCCTATGTAGAGAAAAGAAGAGTGCACGATTTTATCTGACAGGGAGCAGACATGTTTAATTTCTCTCGTATGGATTATTGAATTATTGTGATTAGATTATGATATGATATATTGAGTAAGTGTGTGATTATTGCATCCTAGAATTATTGCAAGATATCCTCTTGGCAAGACTTATTATTATTGTGTTTATTAGTTATAATAAAGTACTGTATAATTTCATTGAACATTGCCACTTCATTGTGTGAGAGAACAGATAAGTTTGAGGAGTGGAAGAATTAATTATTCAAGTGAGCAAAGTATTAGTTAACCATGTTATATTGGCAATAGAATAACATGTGTTACAACAAGCAATGGAAAACAACATGATGTGATAGACATGATTACCGACAAAAATCTATTGTCTAATGGATGATACACAGCATTGAATATTTACACAAGTATGTAAATAATAATCATACCAGTGTTTGTGCATCATCAGCCTAAGAAAATACTTGAAGTGCTAAAATGTAAGTGATGGTCAAACAGGAAATTCTAAGCTGCTATTTGTATGCTGTATTAAGCTTAGCTATGCCACAATCACCAAATAACAACACAATATCATTGATAAATTTGTTTGGTGGCAAGACCCTTTTTTTTCCTTCTTTTACATAAATGAGTTATCTAACTTACTTCAATAGTTTTTCCTTCCAGCTCTTTCTCATCCACCCACAAACCTGAGCCGTCACGGATTCTTCTTTTACGGGGTCGCTGAATAAAAGGCAACTATTTAAAAGATCAGTTTTTCTAAAGTAAAAGACTTATACTCAAATAAAAATATAATAAAATTTACTTTCTGAGGACTACAGACTTTTATGCACATAATACAAACGTTTATTTTTTAAACAGAAAAATAAGTAAATCCCCATTGGCCACGCATGTGGAGAAGAATAACTGAAAAATAATGAGTGAAACTGGAGATCAAAATATTTAAACCATGCAGCAAGAGTTCTTGCCTCATTGTTCATTACTTACTGTTGACTCTGTTTTTAAAGCTGGAAATGATGCTATGAGATCTTTGTTGATTCCTTTGACCCGACTGTTTGTTCCTCCACCGACAGTTTTGTGTGGATTTCTGTATGCTGCTTGTTCTGAATAGTACCGGTAATATGATTTTTTTTTCATCATCTATACAAGTATTATTGAATTAGTAAGGCCACTCTTTATATCAAAATCTTAGAATAAATTGATATGAAAGCATAAAAGAATGGACAGCTGTTTGGATGATTTGGGATGAGAAAACAACAGATTGTCTGAGTTTCAATAGCAAGCAAAATAAAAAAAAGTTCCATTAAAAAAATACTCCACTTTTTAAGATTTGGATCAAACAGTTTTACAAATCCCAGTAGCTAACTCTACTGGCCTTAATACTCACCACAACCAAAATTAATGGCACCAATACACTCCAAGTAGGAATGAATCCGACCTATACAATTTACATCTCCACAATTTTTCAGCCCTGGTCTTATGCAAGTTTTGTTTAAGTAAGTTGGCTTGCATTTTAACCTGCAATCAGATAAAGGTTGCTAGAATGGGTATTCACGGTATCTGAGGGGGAAAAAGAGCTATAAAAATGAATAATTTAATTATGGTCCATTTTAATTTAATTAATTCCTTTTTAAAGGTCATATTTTAATAAATATTTTGTTTATAAAAGTGATAAGTCATAACATAGAGGATTTCAGGAATAAAGATGATTTGTCTGAAATCATTAAACTCAATAGTTTTTTTTTAAAAATCATATCTTTGCCATAAGAATTTAATATCAAATGAAAGATGATGAAAGATGTATAAATCATATATGGCTCAGAGACAAGGCATAGGTGAGGTTATGAGAATTACATAAATCTGCTTCATTTGGAGATGATAAAATGAACATTTTTGAATATGCAAATAAATTATGAAATGATACTCTTTCATACCAACAATCTATGATGTAGCTCCTGATCTTAATGTAGCGCTCTGGTGTCTTTGGTGGCCGCCCATCAAAAAAATCTGCATGAACATGTTTTTCTTCATCTGAGATGAAATGGGCTTGCAACTCTTTCTCTTCTTGTGGAACTTCAAATTCTATCACTTCACCCGATGATGCCACCAGTCCATTTACTGGTTGCAAATTCATTTGAAAATATAAAAAAAAATAAGGGTAACATCGATTAAAAAATCATAAATGTAATGGATAATTTTTGTAAGAATACAAAAGCCAGACATGTCATTGCTCAGGAGTTAAATCATCAAAGTAACCATTCCCTCAGCACTAAGAAAATTCAACAAATCATCTGAACAATCTGCCTGTGATATTAACTATAAAACTAGGAACCTCTGTGAGCTTTAAAATGTTTACCAATAGTTTCTGTTTTAACATGGTGCTCCTCCTCTTCCTCATCGTCCGGCCGGTCTTTGCTGCTATCATCAGACATGCTTTCCAGTTTGTACATCGAAGCTGTGTCGCTATTAGAATCCTCCTCCTCCGTCTTTACCACCACTTCTGCTGCACACATTGGATCTGCATTCATGTCCAAATCCGTGCTGCCAGCATTTAGGTTTTGGGTTTCTTCCCATTCAGTTGCATTCTCTTTAACAGTTTCCTGAGCCGTCACCAAATGTTCGGTGTTGCTTTTAGTTTCTATATCGATGTGAGCAGATTTTAACAGCTGGTGGTACACTGAGCTGGGAGACGCTGAGCGGCTCTGCAAGACTGGGTTTTCATCATCATCATTCTCAATATCTATGTCGACCTCAACATCCTCCTCATCATCATCATCCGAGAGTTTTGTCTCACGGGGGAAACTTGAATTGCTGATGTCACCCGACCCGTTAATGCCATCCGATGTAGAACATAGGCTGTTTGAGCGACTTTCTTTTTTGCGTGACTTGTTACTGATCACCGTTACACTGTCCCCATTCTTAAAAATGTCTCTAACAAGTGATCCAACATCACCGTTAATCATGGATTTTTTAGGTTTATTCCGAGCTCCTTTGCCCCGTTGTGGTTTAGTTGGTGATGCTTTACTCTGCTGCTTATTGGGGGGGGCCGCTGCTTGTTTTTTAGGGGGAGTCCCAGGTTTGTTAATTTTTGAAGCCCTTGGCCTTGGTTTGGCCAGCACCTCATTGGGTGATCGTGGTGCGCTGCTCAGCTTGCAGTTGGATGTTGTCGCAATGGTTGGCTGTCCGGTGGTCACACTGACCACAGTGTCTGCAAGGGAGGATGGGCTGGCATTGAGGAGTGGAGTCTCTGTCATAGATTTAAGTGTTTCTATTTCCATCTTCTCCCTTTCAGCTTTCTTTTTGGCCTGTGGACAAAAAAAAATCACAGTGGCTCCTCCATTAATAAATAAAATTATTGATTATTTTACAAAACTAAATTAACTAAAAACTATCATTTCAAAAATGTCATACATTATGTCATGATTTTTAAAATTCTTTTTGTTATATAATTAATAGGCCAATTTCAATCTGAATTCAATCTAAATATGTTCATTGTCTTTTTGGGGCTTTGTGATGGCCCCAGCTATCGCATTGCAGGAGTGCCGCATCTGATGGGCGCCACCGTAAATTAGATTATTGATGTGGGTTTCTGGAGAGTTCCCAACTCCACCACTTCTCAGGGTCTGGCACTCTGCTCGCAAGCGCACAACTCTCTCTGGCGCCTACCCAGTGTAAGTTGCAACTGGGGTCCCCAAAAGAATTTAATCTGTTTAAATAGCTTCCAGTAATTCAGTGTTCTGTTCTCATTTGGGTTAAAGGTTAAAATAGTGAGTAGATTTTGTACAATTAAAAATAACATATTTGATCCTTTCAAGGTGAAATATTTCTGTTTGTGTGATTTAAAACAAATTGGGGGGGGGGGCGCGAGAGGAGATAGTTTCAAGATATTGTCTCTGTTGAAAATTTAAGACAGAATGTATTAACTGCTTGTCTTAAACTCATGATAAGAACTGACACTCACAAGGCTGAATATGGTACTAAGACTAAGATAGCTCAGGATAGAAAAATCATACCAAATTTTTCATATACTGCTGAGCATAATTCTTTACTTGAAGACTTGTTCTTGTGGGAATCAGGCTTGCAATCTTGCTCCAGCTCCTACCAAATATTCCCTGTTGAAAATAAATATATTATAATAGTAAAGCAAGGGGTCTATGCTTCTTTTGTAACAGTGACAGGTCTGAACATCATGAAAATGGCTTTTAAAAAATGAAATATTTTTATACAGATAAGACAGATATTAAACCAGTAAAAAAAAAAAAAAAAAACTTAATAGAAATGACATTTTGCTATTTTAAAAGAAAGCGTTACTTACCATGCCTCGTAAGAAAGTATTCTTTTCCTCCTGTGTCCAAGGACTTTTGTTTGGTGTGCTGGCCTTACTGGTGCTCGCAGTCACAAGAAGAACATTCTTTTTAATGCTTAGATATCGAGATGTTTTACGACCATACATGTACTGTCTTCATAAAAAGTCAAGGAAATTAACCTCATTTTGTTTTAATCAATCAAAATAAGCAAACAAGCAAGACAGTGAAAGTCCATTTGAATAAACATATACCGTTTTTTTTTTTTAATTTGAAACATTCACTTGGTTTTTTTATTGGAAAAAGTGGCTAAAACACGTGTACAATGGTGCTAAGCTATATATTTCTTATTTTTAAAAAAGGAAAGACTTTCCAATTTTATTTAAAATCATTTAAATAACTATAGGGATACTGTTCTTCGAGAAGCATCTTTTCAATAGTGGCTTTAGACTTCTCATCCATGCAACTGTCAAGTGACCAACCCTGCACAAAAAGTATGAGACATGTAACAAAAGAAACTACCTTTTCTATACACTAATTGTTTTCTGCAATAAATTAATGCGCATTTATTCACATGAACTTAAAAATCCTAGCAGTTTAAATGCATTCTTCTCTAAACAAAGCTCTGTCATAGGATTATATAAGTAGGCTCTTAATAAAATCTGAATGGATACCTTTTAACGCAAATATTTTCTAGCTTTTATTTTTCCAGAAGACTTGAGACATATACAGAAAAAAAAAGGCTGAGCTTGATAAATTAATTTTGTAAAAAGTAGTGTTTTACCTGATAACCCAGCAATGCAGCTAATTTTTAATTTTTTTTTTAAAAATATATGAGTTTATAGGACTTTAAGTATTATTATTTATCTACTGTTGGCCTGGTCAGTGGTATTAGGATTTACATCGTAAATGGTTGATAGCAATCACATTTTCTATTACGGTACTGTTTGAAATTTTTTGTGGCCTGAGACCAAACTATACTACTTCTTGATTACCTGTTCCAACATCCATGCTGGGCTTGTAAATTCCGGAAGAAGATTTGCACTTTTTGATGGAAGTTCATTTGTATCATAGAATTCTTCACCCAGTCTAATTAAATTAAATAGGGTAGACTTTGTCAAAATAATTTTTATAAAAACATGTTAAAAATTTTAAATGGGTTTTCTTTAAACAATTCACAACATTCAATAAAAATGTTTGATCACATTCAAAATCATAGTTTTTACATAATTTGTACTTAAAATAACAATTTAAAATAAAAATGCCACTACAGCTCACTTATATTATACAAACTTTCAAATAAAACATATTTTTTAAAATTCAAAGTGTGCATTTGATTATATTTCTCAATTTGTTTTACCGCAACATTTTGTGACCCATAGGATTGCATGTGCAAACAGATGTGCAGTTGCATTTTAAATATTTTTTTAAAGACAAAAGCAATAACTCTTAACTAATTAAAAATACAGGGATGCTACCGAATGCATCTATGTATGATAATGTTTCATTAAATGAACTGTAGTGCAGCGTTTCATTAAATTTTGAGTTTGGTAGACAAGTTTTGATATTAAACAAGGGACCGTTGCATGATTTATTAATATTCTTTTTATTTGACCATAACTATTCATTAACAGTGTGGCTCAGTAACATAAGGCTGGCGGCCCGATACCATGTACAGTACATTGTGTAATTCAATCAATTTATTGTAGTATTAGTAGACTAAGGAAAGTAATTTAGAGCTAACTAATTCCTGAACTAAACACTTAAATAGCCAACTTAAATTTATTAAAGATGGAAATTATATCAGGGTAATTGCAATGGTTGTGTCCACACACACAAAAAAAGCCCATTTTAACAATCATTGTTTATATAGACAAACATTGAAAGAAAAGAAAATTTTTCCAAGGACCCATTGACCTACCAGCATTGACCACTCCTACTTGCATAAAGGTGGAATGGTCTGTTTACCGCATCATCAAAATAGGCCTACTTTAATATATAGGCTGGCCTAGTGTAGGCTACTCCAGCGGTAGGCACAAGAGGTATAACCCACTGTACTGTAAATGGAGTAACAACTAGCCAAGCCCAAACTAATAATAAAAATAGGCCTATTTAGGCTATGCTAAATGGTAATTAAAAACATAATTTGACTTTATTGTTTTATTAAAGTGTAGGCTAGCCCACCCTACAATGCCTACAGTCTCCAGGTTTATTACTAACATTACCATTACTAATAGGTACTTTGGTAAAGCAAGGGAGACTGCAAACAATTTTTTAAAATCAGAAATGGGCGTCATCACAGGTAAATACATTTTAAAAATTTTTCTATGATAGTGCTATTTCATTTTTAAAATAATTATTTTGTCCCACAATTGTGTTCAGTTTCCATCCTTTCACTTTGGAGGACTACTTGGCCTACATTTCAACAGATTTCTTTTTTTCTTTACAATCAATCAACTTTGAGAAAGTCCTTTGTAAATGTAAAGCATCTTTAATCATTAAGACCCAGATGAAGTTAAATATATGTCCTTTTCATTTATATTATATCCCTCGGGTCAAGTATATATTGATCTATAAGAAAAACGAAAATTGAATTTATTAAGGAAAGTGTAAGCGACTGTAAACCTATTTTTGTCTTTGTATCCTTAAATTTAAGGATTGAAGTTAAATGGGGATATCTTGATTAGAGAACAAATTTTTTTTTTTTTTAATCAAAATCATTCAATACATATACTGAGTAAAACTTAAATAATTACAGGCAAATTTTCCGAAGTTTTAACTGAACAAAATTTTTACATTATAATGGTGTGTACTAAATTAAACATTTGTGTCCACTATGAATGTTTTAACATGATGTCTAAATGAATTGGAGTGATAAACAATGAATGTATTATTGTGTCATTATATTTTCTTAACTTATGTTTTGAATAATTTTTACATTTCAATACACTTTCTGAGGTCCACTTGATTTGAATATTAGATTACCAACCCCCAAAGACAATCAATTATATCAGGATGCCCACGTAGCTTTTACTGACCTCTATCTCGTATCTCAATATTGACCCATTTCTTGTTGTCCAATTTAGATGAAACCTTGTACATTTACCCAGCTCCGATGAAAATAAATTTTCTTTGATTAGTTGGTCACCAATGAATTCCACTAACCCTTAAAGTAATTCCAGCGTCCATTTCAAGAGTAGAAATAATTGTTACATCGTGTTTAACTACACAGTTTCCTTAAGTAGTGTTATAAATTAAAGGACTGCATTCAAGCCTTAAGAAAAAAAAATAAAAATTATTGATCTACATGTGTGCCAATTTTCATAGCGCTATCTGTTTATGAGGGAACACCATGTTTCTACATGCGACCACGCCTTTTATAAATGGCAAAAGATGCATATACTGGAAACATTCAATTATTAACACTATTTGCATCAAAATATTAGATAACTTGTGTTTATAATGAACTTAGAGGGGATTTAAATAATAGAATTTAATTTGATGTTTAAAAGCCTGGAAGAGTCCACATTATTAAGTATTAAGTATTATAATTTACAGTGTGCAGCAGTGCCTTTGCCATGGGCAACCATTCAATCACTATATGATTATACCAAATAATATAATATATTCTCAAAAGTTTAAGTCATAACAGATTGTCATGTGCAAACATTATGCACTGGATGACCACAAACAAGCTCAAATTGAATGATGATAAGACTGAGCTGCTCCCCATCGCGACCGCTCAGAAGCAAAAATCTGCAAATAACACGACATCCATAACTCTCTCAGGTGTGCGTATTGAGTTAGCTCAAACAGTGCGGTACCTGGGTGTCTACCTAGATAGAAGACTAACTTTTGAAAGTCATCTTAACATGCTATGCAAGGCGATTTTTCTGGAGCTGCGCAGGATTAGTAACATAAGGCCCTTCCTAACAATTGATGCAACAAAGAGGCTGATGTCTGCATTTGTGCTATCACGCATGGACTATTGCAATGCTCTCATGGTGGGTCTTCCAGCTATGCTCCCGGATAAAATTCAAATAGCACAGAATAATGCGGCTCGCATTGTTCTCCGCAAACGCAAGTTCGACCATGCAAAAACACTTCTGAGAGAGTTGCACTGGCTGCCGGTGCGTGCTCGCATAGAGTACAAAATCGCAACTTTGTGCTACCGCTGCTTACATGACCTGGCGCCGTCCTATCTGAAAGAGCTGCTGACGCCTTATGTACCCACTAGAGAGCTCCGCTCATCCGATAGTGGCAAACTCTCGACACCACGTGTTTGCCTTGAGACTTATGGAAAGCGCACTTTCGCATTTGCTGTTCCAACAATTTGGAACGCCCTTCCTGTCGATCTCAGAAACAACCAGACACTGGAGTCCTTCAAAACCGATTTAAAGACACATCTATTTCGCAAACACCTTCTGGGATGATTGTCAACCTTATTTTCCAGTTAATGCATACTGGCTGTGTTGCTTAGGGTTGAAATGGCTAGAAAGACTTTGCCATTGTACGCTTGTAATTAGTTTTTGTAGTGTTGCGTTTGTTTTAAATGTGGTAAATTTTAGATTTGTTTTTTGTTGACTTTGTACCTGGCTTCGAGCCTTTGGGGATGAAGCGTGTTTTTGAAATGAACTTTATTATTATTAATTAGTCAAGTGCCTTGAAGTGGAAAAGTTGAAAATTCAAAATAATTAGTCCCAAACCAGTATTATATTTAGGGGGATGCCTTGCCTTATAATATAATATAATGGACGCCTTAGACTTGGTGAACAGAACATCAATGTATTTATTAAATTTAATAATAACATTACATAGCTAGATAAGTTAAAATGTAATTATAATAGCATGATAGTGTTAAAAATAAAGTAAATATTAGAACTTTAAATACCAAGAATTAATCCTCAAAATAGAAGTTGTGTAAAATTATGATTTAAACAAGAGTCATAGCGTGTGACGCAATCTGCGGAGTTGGGTCACATAATGCGGAGGTCCAGACCAAGGTTATAGTAAAAAATACCAAATGAACTTAACTTTAAAAATTGGCAGTGTTTACACGTCCAGCGACTGCTGGACTAATAGTGTGGGAGTGGGAGATATTCTTTCCGGAGGGGGGGGGGGGGGGGGGGGGGGGGGGGGGGGGGGGGGGGGGGGGGGAGAGAAGGGGCATGTCATGTGACAAGAGGTCGCAGGAAATTTTTTTTTAAAGTCTGTTATCTTGGTTTGAATATCATATACAGCTCTATCTGGTAGCCTAAATTTAAAATATGAACCAAAGAAAATAAGACCAATACTTGCCAGTTGACTTTCAATAGACCTACTGTCAAAAAAGATTTATTTTAGGCTATTAATATTGTGTGAGAAGTAGGCGACCCCAACAGCACACTATATTTGCCCTATATTGAGATGTAGGGTCTATTTGAAATAGTATTTCTTTGTGAACTTTCGACCTTCCCGCCTTAATTATTTATTTATTTATTTATTTAGGCATTTTTATATAGCGCTTACCTTAAAGCTTTAAGCGCTTTACAATTATTAAAAACATGTAAACTAAGTAAAATAAAAATGAGACATTAGGATAGTAACTAACTATACTATAGAAACAATTAAAATGGCTATAAAATGAGGACACTTTGGCACGTTTTGGCCTATACTACAGGATCAACCCGAGACAGAAAATGAGGCAGGCAAGGAGGGTGCATCACAGGTCATAGGCGGACCTAAACAGATGGGTTTTAAGGGACTTTTTAAAAGGGGATTTATCACCCTCACTATCATTTGTATCCTTTCTCTCTCGCTCTCAGTATTTCTTCCTTCTATTATGCATTGCTCCCCCCCCCTCCCCAACTTATTTCTTGAAATGAAGAGTATACTTGTCACCCCCATGCATCTCTGACACCAGTTTTATGATCGACTATTAGCGGTCACGTGACAAGGCTGACGGACCGATATCTTGCCCAACTTTGTTATGGTGGTCATGTGACCTGTGAATATCTTGAGAACTTACTCGTCCGATCGCCAGACATGTAGATACTTCATTAAAAACTCATAGCTCAAAAAGCTAGAAAGTTGATTCTGGTGTGATTTT